CTATGCTAATACATGTTAAAATAAAGACAAGCAAGATGATGACAACCTTTTATAATGACAAACTAGCTAAACTAATGACAAGCTAAAATGATGACAAATTATGAAAATAAAATCAGCTTAAATGACGACTAACTTTAAAACCGACGAGCTATAAAGACTACACAGTAAAATGATGACCAACCAGCTAATTTAAAGTGAAGTAAAAATAAAAAATAAACTAAAATGGTAAAACTAATATAATGACAAGCTAAAAAGATTAGAAGCTAAAATATTGATAAGCAAAAATAATGACACCTTATATGATGACAAGCTAAAATGAAGATATGCTAAAATAATGACAATCTTACATATATAATGAGAAGCTAAAATGATAACATGCTATAATGATGACAAGTCATGAAACTTAAATCAGCTCAAATGAGGACAAACTTAAATACAGACAAGCTAAAAAGACTACAACGTGATGTAGTCATGTGGTCACCAGCAACAATTATATATAATGACAATCCAAAATAATGACAAGCTAATATGACGACATGCTAAAATGATGACAACCTTATATAATCGAGGGGTAAACCACTGATTTTTTAAAATCGCTTACGAGTTAACGGCTAAGGATAACAATAACAAGGGTAGTCATGTACAACGCGTCGCTAAGCACTGATTAAGCACCGATTAAGCATCTATTAAGCAAGTTTTCCTTATTGATAACGACTGATAAGGAAAAAAATCTCAACACAACATCCACTAACATTGAACGGTTGTCTCTAAGATTTTAAAGTGGTTTACCCCTCGTATATAATAACAAGCTAAAATATTGACAAGCTAAAATGACGACATGCTAAAGTAATGACAAGCAAAAATTATGACAAGCTAAAATAATAACCAGAAAAAATGATAACAACCTTATATAATGACATTCTAAAATAATGACAAGCAAAAAAGATGATAATCTAAAATAACGATATGCTAAAATAATGACAAGCTAATATAACGACATGCTTAAATGATGACAAGCTAAAATAATGACTAGCAAAAATAATGACAAGCAAAATAATGACATGCTAAAATAATGACAAGCAACATTGATGACAAGCTAAAATATTGACAAGCTAAAATGACGACATGCTAAAATAATAACAATCTAATTATATGATGACAAACCAAAATAATGACAAGCTAAAAGAACGATATGCTAAAATGATGACTAGCTAAAATAATGACAAGCTAAAAGAACGATATGCTAAAATAATGACAAGCAAAAATGATTACATCCTTATATAATGACAAGCTAAAATGGTGTCATGCTAAAATAATGACAACCTTATATAATGACAAGCTAAAATGACGAAAAGGTAAAATAATAACATGTTATAATGATGACAAGTCATGAAACTGAAATCAGCTCAAATGACGACAAAAACTTTATTAAATACGAGCTAAAAAGACTATACAGTGAAGTAAAAATGACAACAAAAAATGATAGAATTAAACCAATGACAAGCTAAAATGATAACAATATAAAATAATGACAAATCAAAATAACGACATGCTAAAATAATGGCAAACTAATGACAACATTATACGATGACAAGCTAAAATTACGAGAAGGTAAAATGATGAGAAGTTATAAAACTAAAATCAGCTTAAATGACGACAAAATGATGACCAACCAGCTAATTTAATGTAAAACAGTAATGACAAAAAATAAAAATGATGACAAGCTTAAATGAAGACAAAACTGAAATCAGCTTAAACTTTTTTATGTACAAAATAATAATAAACAAAAATAAAACAAATAAAAAATGTACTATCTCTATGAAAAAAATCACGTCGATCCGTTGCTGCCTGAAAGGCAAATATATGTCAGGATTAATCCGGGCACTTACGCCATTTTTTTTAATGTTGTTCCTTCGTGATTATTTATAAATTTATGGGCTCCATTAAAAAGTATATGGGTTGTTTTTAAATGGTTTTAATATCTTAACACTTTGAGGCATTACTTTTTCCTGCGACCGTACACGTCACCCAGTGGAACAACGATTAAAAGAGAGGTAAAACATGGAAAGCAATCTTGATAGGGGGTAGCGCGGGTATGAAGGGGGGTTAGTGAGCAAACAACTCTGAATAAATTACCGTCCCATTATATATAATAGAAGGGTTCCCAGCGGGGCGCTGCAATTGCAAGCAAAACGAACGAACTTGTGTGTATAGGAGAGAAAATTAATATTTTATCAGTAAAGAGAAGCATTTATTTATTTATTTTTGTTTAATGGGGGTATTAGTTATTTAAATAGACGACGTTGTTTATTAAGCGTTTTGGGATGTTTTTTTGTAGGCTGTTATTAAATTAACAATTAATAATAAAGGGTTAATTTTTAATTGAATTTAATATTTAAGCACAAGTATAAACGACAACATTAAATGAAGATGAAATAAAACGGCAATTGGACATGAAGTTTAATAACAACAATTAAGGGTGACTTTTACAAAATGTTACAAGTGAATATTACAAGAAATTATTGCAAGAATTTTATGTCAGAAATGCCATACACATGTAGATTCATTCCTAGATAATTATGGAAATTACATAATCATTTGTGAATAACATTTAATAAACTTATTAGAACGATTGTAATTATGTATAAAGCGATCGTATCATTAACATAATTAAATATAAATTTAATATATGACAAGTTTAATTAACACTTTTTAGAATTGTTTAAAAAAAAATACGTAAAGCTTAGCCTTGCCGGCGTTTTAATAAATTTATAAATCTCATTTAAGCTGGAGTTAAAATACCTAATAACAACGATAAATTTGATGCGCGCACCGACTAATTTTAAAACCGAAAGGAAAATATTAATTTTCATTTTCAGAAGCTGAAGCTGTCAGCCCGAAAGGGATTAGGCGAGCTTTCGGAGAACACTGGATTAATTTATATTTTCAGCGATGATGCAAATTTGTTTTTTTTTTTCGTTTGCGTGGTGTCCACGTTATTAACTTTTTGCAGTTGGTAACATTATGTTACGGAGTGCGCCTGAAAAGTTTGCAGTTCGGATGTGCTGTGCTGTAAATTGTCGTTACATCGGATTGTGTAGTTTTAATCAGATTTGCATTGTTGCGCTGAGGTTTGTTTTAACTTATATTGTTCGGTTAAAATTTATTTTTGGTTTTTATTTTTAATAGCAAGCCAAAATGACATACCATCCAGTTAATAATGTTTTAGCTTTATGCCTAACTGGGTCCAATTGCCTTTTTCGTGTTACCAACCTGACGTACCTAAATACAATTTTGCGACAACAAGTCGGCAGAGCCAAATTATCAACAAAACACAAACAACAAAATATTCCTCAAAATGACGACATGCAAAAATTTTGACAAGCTAAGATGATAACAAGCTAAAATAATGACGACATGGTAAAATAATGACAAGCTAAGATGATAACAAGCTAAAATAATGACGACATGGTAAAATAATTACAATGACAATGACAATGATGACAATACAACCAAATATTTCCTTAATGACAAGGTACAACCTTATATGATGACAAGCTAAAACAATGACCAGCTAAAATGACGACATCAAATAATGACAACCTTATATAATGACAAGCTGCTAACGGCATGCTAAGATAATAACAAGCAAAAATGATGACAAGCTAAAATGACGACATGCTAAAATATTGACAAGTAATAATGATGACAATAAAATGATAACAAGCTAAAATAATGACAAGCTAAAATGACTACATACCAAAATAATAATAAGAAAAAAGATGACAACATTATATAATGACAAGCCAAAATGATGACAAGCCCCAGGCTGATTTAAATCGTTTGAATTAAATTACGATTGAAATCAACAATTTAAATCAGTTTTAAAAAAAGTTTCTAAAATCTAAAAAATACTTAAAAGATCTAAAACTAAAGCACAATAATATCTTGACACTATTTAAATAAATTCATATGTATAGAAAAACTGCTTATATCGTTAAATAAAATAATAAAGGAATATACAAAAAATATATGACAGTTGCGGACGGTGGTTCATTTGTTTACTTATAAAGTAGTGCCAATACAATATTATTATAGTATAATATACTATATAGTATAGTATAAGATATTTTTAGTATTTTTTAATACTACACTTTATTAAAAAAGCTTATAATTTTGAATATCGTAATAAAAATTAAAAAAATAATTTTTTGTTGATTTTTTTGATTTTTTTAAATAAAAATCATTGATTTTTGATTTTTTTTAATCATGATTTTTTCGAACCCTGTGACAATCTAAAATAATGACAAGCAAAAATGATGACAACCTAAAATAATGACAAGCTAAAATGACGACATGCTAAAATGTTGACAAGCAAAAATGATGACAAGCTAAAATGACGACATGTTAAAATAATGACAACCTTTTATAATGACAAGCTAAAATAAACACATGCTATATTAACAAAAAGCAAAAATGACGACAAATATATATAATAAACAAGCTAAAAAGATGACAATCTAAAATTAAAGCTAAAATGACGACATGCTAAAATAATAATAAGAAAAAATGATGACAAGCTAAAAGATTGACATGCTAAAACAATGACAACCAGTTAACAATATTTTAAATTTCTGCCTTACTGGGTCCATGTTTATGTAACCAACATGACATACCTAAATAAACTTTCAAACTCTAGAGACAACAAGTCGGCAGTGCCAAACCATCAACAAAACACCGACAACCAAATATTTCCTCTCTCCACTTGCCTCTAAATTAGCGCGGTTGTCATAATAAAATGTTTGTCCATTGCTTTCGGGTGTTTTGTGTCTTTCGCAGCAACATAAAACAAATCTTCGAGATCACTTCTGAACGCAAAATATTCCTTTTGCTTGTTGAGAGCTAAATATCGCTCATAAAGTTTTGTCGAAGCCACGACCTATGTAGAAGACTTGTTTTGAAAAGCCTTGGAATTAAACTAAATGTTTGTGTTGTTTCAGGGGTTGACTTTGAGCCATGATCCTGCGACCAGCGACGACAGCGGCCGGGCGTCGGAACGCCTCACCGGGTCGTCGGTCCCTCCAAGGGACGCCGACAGCTCCAGGGACCGCCTGAGCGATGTAAGTACAAATTTAAATTTGCATTTATATTTCAACCACTTTATTTTATTTTGATGAGGTTCTCCTTGTACATTTGCATATTTGTTTTTTTTATGGAAAACGTGGGAATCATTAAAGTGTTTATTGTAATATCCTTCATTTATATAATTTTTCTTAACATTTTTTTTTAATTTACAGGCCAGCAGTAGATGTAGCTCAGGCAAAGGATATATCGTAAGTTATTTTTTTAAATTTATCCAAGACGTAGTAGGAATATTTACTAGGAAATTTAGTATATTTTAATGATGCCAAAGAATCACGCTGTTTTAAACAATTAAAATATTCGGTTTTTTAACTACCACTTCATTTTTACAGAAAATATCCAAATCTACAGGGTGTAAATTGCCTTATCGGTTCTCCTACGTTTTTACACCTTTCAAATAAATTTCCCCACAAAATGCGCTCCAATGTCAATTATAACATCTTCAAGTTGGAAATAGTCAATGTTGACCAAGTCTGAAGAATGAGGTGGATGGAGAAGCAACTCATTGCCCAAGTACAGGGCTCCCACACCTCCTAAAACTCATAAAATTCCTAAAATTTGGCTTAAATCTTGAAAACTCCTAAAATTCTCATAAAATTGCATTCAATCTTCTAAAACTCCTAAAAATTAAATATAAATAGGCCAACCTGACTGCGTTTAATTAAGTTAGTTGTCGCGCTAAAAAATTCTTTTTTAAAAAGTAATTTAAAAATATATATTTTCAGGTTCTATTTAATAAATTCTTTTTAAAATGATATATCACAACCAAAATTTTCTTAAAAAAGCAACAAAAAAAACTTCTACAAAATTGTCATTTTTAGCCATATTTCGTTTGTTTTAGACAAAAATATATCAAACAAAAGGATTTTTAATTTTCTTTTAAATGACAGCTAAAATAGTAAACAATCTAAAGAATGTTTTGCTGTATTTTGCAAACTTTATATGTTGTTATGAGATTTTTAAGTATTAAGATCCAAATTACAATCGAATCGACGAGAATAAGAACATTACAAGTCCACAAATTTAATTTTGACAATTTATTATCTAAAATTAATTTTAAAATTTAAAATACATTTTTGTGAGAAGATATAAATTATTTTACAGAGTATAATTATTATATTTCATAATATAGTTAAAATATTTTAACGAAAGTGCATTTTACTTTTGGACTTTGGACTATTCTTAATCTTACCGATTCAATTACTGTTACTTATTAACTAAACAGTCAACATATTTTTTCTTAAAATATAAATATAACATCATTTGATTTTGGCCTAGTTTTTTAGCCAAATCTATCGACGCATTTTTTTAAATTAAATTAAAAGTGTGCTGAAATTTATACTTGTATACATTGTTGTATATATATGTACCTCAGATATATACAAAAGTAGTAGTTTTACCTCACTTTTAATTTTATTAAAAAAAACTCGTCGAGCGATTTGGCTAAAAAACTAGTCAATATAACTTTTTTCTTATTTTTTAAGTAGTAAAGAGTTGAATTTATTTAATTAAAGAAATTCATTTCCACACTTTATTTCTCCTAAAATTTTACAAAAAACCTCCTAAATTCCTAAATAAAATTTGTAATTTAGCCGTGGGAGCCCTGCAAGTAGTCTAGTAGTCTGACCTACATACAGTTACCGGCAAAAGTATGGAACAAACAAATACGTTTGTCCTGTCATATTCTCGTTAAATACGTTTGTCCTGTCAATGACAGGCTGTCATATTCTCGTCAAATCTGTCATATTCTGTCAAATAAGAAAGGACCTATGATCCGATTTTCCACCATTCCTGCCCAGACATTCACTCTTTGCCGGTATTGGGAATTTGCCTCTACTACCCAATGAGGATTTTCTCTACTCCAGTATCTACAATTTTGACGGTTGACTGTACCATTCAAACAAAAGGTAGCTTCGTCCGAAATTAGTTATTTATGTATCAAGGCAGTAAAGTTGTATTTTTTATCACGAATGTGGAAATAACCACGTGAGTGATAAAAAATTACTTTAATGCCGAGGTGCATATTAAATTTGATCCGAAATCACATTTAATAATACTAATAATTAATATTGATGATTAAATCAAATGTCATTTGAATGTAGGAAGTGTCTACGTATACTGTTTGATGCGACGGTTATTATATATTTGCCCGCCGCGGCGATTTTTTAATCTAATTAATAAAATTAACTTATTATTTTAATTAAACAACATTTTATGAAAGGGTCCAATCGACCTCCGCGACGGTGCTTTTTTTTTAATATTATTTAGTTGCTGCTGAGGAGCAGTAGACACATCTTAAAATGTATAATGGATTGCATACAATACTCGTATTAAATCGGCAGTAAAGTTCTACTTTACTGCCGAGTTCTTTTACTTTACTGCCGATTGTTGACTACTTTACTGCCGATTTCGGATAAAAGTATTTGACGAGGAAAGTGTGAATTATTGTAATATAAATTCATCATAGTTTTACAAAATTGTAGTCTACGGTCCGAATCATCTTTGTTAGGCTCCTGCCCTAGTCTAATTTTATATGGATGGTATATCCATGACATGTCCAGTCTCTTTGCATTTCCGTTCAATTTTACTAACCGTAGCACGAGTAATAGGTCGAGCTGGATCCTTTGCATTAAATAAATTGCAAACTTCTTGTTGTGTTTTTGTTTCATTTTCACATTCTATGAGAATAAAAACTTCAATTCTCTGTGTTTCCGTTAATTGGCCCATATTTAAATACTTAGAAATATTTGGAGAACGCTTAAGAGACAGATACTTTAATGAACGCTCAACTAAAAGTTTTAACATCTACTAGTAAATATATGTTTTAAAAACCCTGTAATAAAAAACAACAAAATGTGTATTCTGAGTAATCTGGGTGAAACGAAGGTTTCAATCCGATTTCCCAGAGTGGCGGCGTGTTTATTTGATTGGCTCCACTCAACAATACTTTGTTGCGCGAGATAAATAGATTTTCTTGCCGCCAGACAAGAAAAAACACTGAACACTTTGATAAATTAAGTTTAATCATCCCCCATAAAAAAAGCATTTCCATTTTGATGCACGACAACGATATAATCTGAAGGATTTTTCCGGTGTCATTATTTAGATTTTAGATGTCGAATCAATTTTCCGAACAAAATGTGTTTACGCTCGAATTGAGCGACGATTTTATTCTATCGTTATTTATTCGTCATTTGTCTGCAAGATGTTGGAATGAATAAGGGAGGAAAAGACATTCAAATTGACAAGGTTTTTTTAAGAATAGAGTGCTCTTCTACATATATTATTACATGATTTAAAACTTTTAACTAGAAAGTTTCTAGTAGAAACCAGTAGGCACAACCCTGTATAATAAAAAAATATTTTTTTCTACTTCCACCTTTAAAACGCCCATTATAGTACATGTTTCTATGACACTAAGTGACCTTTTAAATACACATTGAAAAGCTGTGGCTTTATGGCGTTTTAGTCACGGGCTGAAGGTAGCAAAAGTTTTTTAGTCACGGGCTAAAGTTAGCTTTAAGTTAGTTGACAGTTCTTAAATGTCATAAAATCCTTAAAATAAAGTGCCCTTCTTTGTGAAATAATACTAAATGTGAAAATTATTTTATTATCTCAATACAAAAATACGAAAGTAATAAATAGTTTCTTGACGGCAATATTTGAAAAGATTATATGAACTTTTGTACTGACCTTTTGATTTCGCCTTAACTAGATTTAACTGGTAGATCGTTAACAATTTTGCGTAAAGTGCCCATAAAACATTCTATTCTCTTTTACTGCGAAAAACTGCTGCTAAATCGATTGTTAGTCTATTTTCAAGGAATAAATTTTGATTTGCATAGAAAAATTTGAGATTTTAACGCCGGTAGATTCCCAATTTAGAAATTCTAACGGGAATTCTAATAAATACAACTGTCACTTTGTAACTTTAACATTGTACCCTTGTAAGCATTTTTAATACTTTGTGATAATATTTTGCAATTATAGCAATAAAAAATCAAAGGATAATATATTTTCTTAACATAATCATATTTTGAAGGTATTTTAATATTTCTAAGTATCAGTAATTGTTAAGATTAATTAAAATAATAACGGGCAATGTTAATGGTGAAAATTACGTTAAAAATGTTTATTGGAATGGTTACTTTATTTTCGTATAGATGTCGCTTTATACAAATATTTAATTTAAATAATTTTTTTAGATAATATTAAGTATTTGTCGTAGAAAAAGTATAGAATGCAACTCGTGTATCAAACTTGATACATAATATACTATTTTTTAACATGTGATGTATTTTCGAGCCGGTTCTTTTCTTCAAAGTGAGCATAAGTTAATGATGATGTAACTCATAACACTGTAATTACTTTAATAAAAAAAACGAAAGTGTGCAGTACCGTAATAATTATCCCATTACTGCACAAATTTAATATCTTATTCTTGCCGTTCGGGTGAGTTGATGCAAAATTAATTACTTGTCTGACAGGGATTTAATGTTTGATGTTATGTGTGCTCTTTGTGGTTATAGCGTAGCCAGTTTATCGTCAATATGTTTTAACTAATTAATTACATCTGAGTACTACAGGGTGTAACTGAAATGCTTGGCCAAAGTTTGCAAACGCAAACTACAAAATGGTTTCTACATGCTATAATAACCTTGATAAAAAAATATTCTCTAATTATTATAGTTGTTTTGTTTTTTAGCGCGTGTGTGCTAGCGTAGCTTTTAAAGCCGCACCTCCCAACTTAGAATTTTGAATTTTTTTTACACATTTGCTAGGTTTAAATAAAGTGAAAGTGAAAAACTGCGCGCGGAATTGTGCTTAGGCAATGACCAAGCCCGCCTGAACTACTCATAAAACCGTACACTGAACCAAAAAGGTACGTAATATTAATAAAAAAGTTATTGGCTTAACGAACTCTGTTTAGGGCGATTCCGTACTCGCGGGTGCAACATTTAGACTCACTTAAGGCTTCTTACTAAGAAAATAAAAACTCTTTTTAAAGAAATGACTGGTCGCAGGATTTCATTATAATCTGTTTTACAAAAATTAATATAAAAAACATTTAATAAAATGTATAAATAGACACAGGAGAGGTTCAAAGTGCTATCGCGGGTGCAACGAAATCGGCCCACCATTAAAGTTCATGAAGCTAGAATGAAAAAAGTCTGTTAATTATGGAATATTT